TTGCTGACACTGTGAGTCTAATACTCTGAACCTGAAGTCCACTGCTGGCAATGGACATACTGAGGTTAGAATGCAAAATGCATAAATCTCACTCTTAGAAAGATTAATCGACTAGTACATCATACCAGCATAGAACTGTAGCAAAACCAACCAAACAAAATGTTTCTATAGTCAATTATATTTGTATCAACTAATTTACACAGATGTGTACAAAAGAAAATAATGAATGTTTACACATTACTCCTATAAAATTAGAATCTTGTTGACATTAAAGAAAAAGCTGTTGCCTCCACAAAGCTCTTTTTACTTGCAACCTGCTGTTGGTTTTACATGGAAATGTGAAAAATGTATAAATTAAATATTAAAGTTATATTTTATTTGTGACATCAAGTACAGTATTAAAAATCAGACCAATGAAATTAAGTGCTTTAATCTATTACAGCTGTGATGTTTAATGGGTTTGTTACAGGACCTCCATCAAGTTTCTGAATCCTGTCTCTTTCTCTCTGAACAGTTGCCTAGCATGATGGCATCAGTGTGTCTTCAGGGAACCTAGTCCAGCATGTGGCCATCACTAACCTTTTATATCATCTATATAACATAACCTGTACATAAAAATAGACCAATTAAAGACCTACTACTTCTGTCTGAGTGTGTAGGACAGCTGTGTTTTCAGTAAAATGTAACAGGGTAGAAAAGAATTTTGTTCACTAATGGACTGATCCAGAATTCACCAAAGCCTGTAGAAAAATAAAGGCCAGTTTTCATTGGCTTTCAATTCAGGATCTTAATCTAGGTGCAGGGTGCTAAGCATTTCTGTTACAGGAAATACAGTTGGATAAAGACAACTTCCCTTGACCTGTTTGATATGTAGGATAAGATAGACCAGTTTACGGCTAAGACAAGGAGGACTCAAATAGCACCAATATATTGAACTAGCTCTTGGAGGTTTAATTTTGGGCAGATGGGGAACCATGACATTAGCTCGTAGGTCAGTAGGAACTACAGTCACCTCAACAATGATTTAAAAGTTGGACAGATGTGGAGGAGTACATATGCATGTGACTGAAGCATCTCATAGTAAGAGTGAGCTTAAACTACTAACAACAAAAGACAATAGATGGAGTAGACTGGAAGAAGACAAATGGGTAGAGTTACATTTTAATTCAGCCTGAGTCTATGACTCCTCATAAAGTACAGATTTCTTCTCATGAGGTAGGGCTGTCCACTTTTTCAAACATTGTCTTCAAAAATATGTTTTCAGCCACACAAGCATTACCCTGAGACATCTCTGAACAAAATCTGAAAGATTAAACTCTTTCTGAGTTACAGTTCTGCGTTCTTGCTGTTATCTGCAGAGTTTTCTTTATCCTGAAGATCTTCAAAAACAAAAACATGTATTTTAGTTTTTTTTAATGTTTATTCTGAGGGAAAATTGTTCCTATGCTACTTTTTCAATTCCAGAGTTCTCTCTTCCCCCCACCCCCCCAGTTTCAGACAAAAGGGAAGTCCCATATGAGAGAAATTCTATCAAATAATTCCTTCTGTGACAGAGTAACTGACATGTAAACAGAGAAGCTGCAAAGGTGACGTACCTTGATTTTGGCAAGAGGCTTTTGGTAAAGACTGGTTTGTTTAGTATTTTCACAGCCAGTTGCAGGAAGAATAATTTAAATGGTTGTACAAGAGTGATTTGTACTTAGGGTTGTTGTTAGCAATTCACTGTCACCACGGAGGATGTAGTAAGGAGACCTTTACTTAGATCAATTTTATGCTAATCAATATACTTTCTAAAATAGATTGGATTATGCAATAGATTTACAAGCAATTATTGCTGATAAAGGCTGAAAGTGTGTTGGAGGAATAGATTCGAACAAGAAGTAAAATTGATTGCTGAAATTAGGTGGCATAAGTAGGATTCGCTTCATTTAAGAGCAAAGAGAAAGTATTAAAGTAAGGAGCAGAGGATGGAGGAGGCCTGGCTAGTTGTGGTAATTCTGTGGGAAAGGACATGCAGATTCCAGTGAGTGGCAAGCTAACCATGGGCCAATAATGTCATGTTTTTGTGAAAAAACAAATTTCATACTAGACTGAATAAATAAGCATTCCCCATTAAATTCACATGAAATAACCTTTTACTCTAATTAGGCCTAATAATGTCTAATGAAGTCTGAGCTGGAATATTATATCAAGTTTCAGGCATGCAACTTCAAGGAGGTTGGGGGCGAATTGGAAAGAGTCCAGTGGAGAGAGACAAGAGAGATGAGAGTGCTAGACAACATCATTTTGTGTGTAAAAATTGAAAGAATTTGGTTTGTTTAGTCTGCATGAGCAATGACTGAAGGAGTATTCACATTTGTAAAAAGCTAGCGCAGAGAAGACAGTAAAAAAATACTGTCTCCATATCCTCTGTTCATAGGATAAGAAGCAATCACCTACCTTTAGATGAGGCATTAGGAGAAAATAATCCCAGCGGTAACTTTGCAAAGCCCTGCAATACATTCCCTGGGAACATCCTAACATCATTTACACAAGTTTTAAAATAGAAGTTGAACAAAGAAGACTTGAAACATTGGCAGTGTTTAAGGCTCAGTTCATTCTCTGGCAGAGGCTGGAATAGATGACTTCAGATCCCTCCTGGCAATGCTGACCCTGGGGAGTGCTCAAATCCAGCCTCCTACGACCCACAGGCGCTCCTGCTGGGTCTCTGTAGTCGGTGGGATTGCATCCTAAGGCCCAGACTGCCTGAGGAATTTGTACTGTGAAACTCTACAGGCCAGCATGTTTCAAGACTTGAATTTAAAGATGTGCATTGTGGCTGACCTTGACTTACTTATTTACCACACCTGTGGTCTTAATCCACATGATTATGTTTTTAAATGAAATTTCTGATTTTATAAGTGAAATTACTGGTGTTTCTTTTCAGCCTTCTGAATTAAGCCCATTCTTCTATTTTTAATTTTTGCTCATGACTAGTCTACGTGTACAGTAACCTCTGGGAGAGAAAAGGCTGTTTTTAATGATTCATTCTAAGTTGTTTTTAATAGTTTGCAGAAGCATTCCTCGCACAGGTAAGAAACTGCTGGTTTATACAGCTAAGATACCTTGTGCATTTTTAAACTTTTACTAGTTAGTGCACACAAGCATTCTCAACGATTTTTTGTTTCCGCTTTACTAATCTGAGAATTTCTAACGCTGAAGCATGTTCGCTAATTTTTTTCTCTAATTGCTTCTTGTAATAAAGCTTTTGTGTTCAGTTCTGGGCCTAGGCTATCTGTTCTCTGTGACATATCAGCTAGAGAAACAGCAAGCGTAGTTCCAGAGGGCCATATGTTTTCTTTTTTGTTTAAAATATCCACGAGCAGACATTCACTTCCGTAGTTTTGTCTCCATGGAGGAGCTAGAAGTTAACCGTATTAACCCCCACGGGCCTTTAAGCCGTTGGAGCAGATGGGGCTGCAGGCTGCCTGAAGCCATGGTGCCTCGGCTGTGTTGCCCACTACCTCCTTCATCTCTTCCACTGTGGCCTCTCTTGTTTGGTCTCTGTTCTAGCACATATACTGTAAATTCTCCAGGGGGATTTGTCTCTTTACCTCTTTGCAAATGTGGAGTTCAGGGGACCTTGATCTGGCACTAGGGTTCTTGTGCTTCACTACAGTTAAAATTGCTAGTTCTGCCTTCTTGGATAATGGAGATAATTTTTATTTCTTGTGGTGAAACTGAGGGCTCTGTCATTGGATCCTGATCCTTTTGGGATTGTCCGCGTGCAACAGCAGGTAATCACAAACTAAGTTACGTATTTTGTGTAGCAATCAGCCACTGACACACTGAGGAAACAGTTACAGTGTTATGCTCTCGTGCTACTTCGTTTAAGTTACTGTCTTTCCTTTTACAAAGTCTTAGGGTGATTTACTCATTTTTACATAATAATATCAATACACTGACTTCTGGAATGAATTAGGAGGCTGTCCAGCAGTGGTGAGTAGCTGACAGATCGGAAAGTGACAATTCCCATGTCCAGTTAAATTAAAACCAACCCTAAATCTGTGCCTGCAACCCCATAATTATAGTAGTAAAAGCCTAAACTTTAAAAAAAAAACAAACCACCAAAAAACCCCATTGAGGAAGTGGCTGCCAGAAATCCAGCCATATTCAGCCCAAACATGTCAGCTTATCGGGATCTACTTAGCTTCAGCCGTCGCTACCTGAACACCTTCCACCTGAAGTACCTAGAACTCTAGGGAGGCACTGTGGGTCCCTACAAGCTCCATGGGTTTTCTGACACATCCCGGGACACCCCAGAGGGTAGGCCTGTGGTGCTTTCTTTCAGTGGGTGTGATGGTCATGATGGATGCATTGCACCTACGCCAAATCTGAAAATCCTGCAGTAATGTGACAATTAAATCTGTATTGCAGCATTCATCCAGTGCACACTCAAGGAGTGACTTCAACTGAAGGATGAACATTTTTTGTACATAAGGTTGTATTCTTATTTTCCAGCACTTTTCCTTCTTGCAGGCTCTCCCAAGTTCCTTGGCGAAGAAACAAATCAAACTGTCTTGACAGTACAAAAATAAGTAAGCTTTTCTGGCCTCGTCTGTGTTTGTGTAACCCATGCATGTGTGACACTGGTAAATGAAGCACTAGAACTGAGAATGTGAAACATCAATAATTTTTTTTTTTGAGGAAATATTTTGCTCGATTCCATTAAAATAAACAACCAGTCATTCTAGAAGCATCTCTGGGAACAGTGTCCAGTGTGAACTTGAATGTGAACAATCTGAGCTGTGTGCTTGCTCGTGTTACTGACCCATGCTGCGACTGTGGGGTAAGCTACTTAGCTACGTACTCAAGGTACACGTGTGCGCACACCATTTATCCCCTCTTCATCTCTCTTGTTTATTAAGATTAATTATCAGCTGGTTTGAGTTGCATCTGTATGAGCCAAAAAAACCAGCCACACAACTGGGAATTGACTGGGAAGATTGTAACCTGAACAGGCCCTAAGGATATGGACGCGGATGTGGATGTACTTTTCAACCTACCAAAACTACGTTCAGGTTTCTAGTTCACGGATAAAGGTCAGCAACGTAGCTGATGAAATTGCAGCCCCCAGGTGAGGGAAGTGTGCGTCTTTGTTGTTCAGAAGAACGTGGCAAATCAGCAGAATGGATTCAGCGATTTACTTGTGTTTTCCTAATCTTGGAAAACTTATGAAGAAACTAAGAGTCGTTTGTAAAGCTCCTGACTGTGGCTCTGGGTTAAGGATTGTTGGTTTTCAGAATGATAGGCCAGCTTATGTAGGGCACTATAAAATCATATATGAAGTTTTAAAGCAGTAGTAAAACTTAGTTTTTCAAAGTAAAAGAGCAGAATGCTTCTACAGCAACACTTCTGAAGTGCAGCAAGGGGTTCATACAAAAGTGCTGCTAGGCGTGTGTGCTGGTTTTGATAAAACCGGTGTATGGGTATCGGCAGTTTCAAGCAAAACAGTCTTCCTGGTGTTTTCCATCAGGAATCCCTGAACAAGAATTACCAGTGCACGCTGGCACAGACCATAATGGAGACTCTGACCCCCACAGTCATTTGACGTCTTCTTTGCTTTAGAAGTGTTTGTCTTACTGAAGAGTTGTTTCACTTGATATGTCCCTATAAAACCTACCTGGGACATTTTGGTGCCATCAAGAACATGGCAAAACAGCCCCTGGACATCAATGAGGCCCAGGCTTTGTGCCAGCATGAGATTCTTTGAAGTACCTACTTGACCTTGTGTGACATTTGCTTCTGTACATCCTGACCCTTGGCTCGGCTTGTGCCAGCTGCACGCATTCAGCTGCTTTTACAGCCACCTCTGCATGATCAAACGTGTTGTTTCATGAAACAAGAAGCCAGGTCTTTTCAGCTGTAATGGGAGAAATCCAGAATAACAGTTTAGGGGAAAAACCCCTCCAAACCTATATCGTCATTTGAGCAATACTTTTAATTAGTTGTACACCAGACATCCTTAAAGGGCATTCGAGGGAAGTTATCCTCCCCCTCTGCTCTGTGGTGGTGAGGCCTCACCTGGAGTACTGTGTCCAGTTCTGGGCTCCTCAGCTCCAGAAGGACAAGGAACTGCTGGAGAGGGTCCAGCACAGGGCCACTGAGATGATGAAGGGCCTGGAGCACCTTCCATATGAGGAAAGGCTGAGAGAGCTGGGTCTGTTCAGCTTGGAGAAGAGGAGGCTGAGGGGGAATCTTATCAATGCTTATCAATATCTAAAGGGTGGGTGTCAGGAGGATGGGGCCAGGCTCTTCCCAGTGGTGTCCAGTGACAGGACTAGGGGCAATGGCCATAAACTGGAAAACAGAAGGCTCAACCTGAACATGAGGAAACACTTCTTCCCTGTGAGGGTGACAGAGCACAGGAACAGGCTGCCCAGAGAGGCGGTGGAGTCTCCTTCCCTGGAGACTTTCAAAAGCCGCCTGGACTTGTTCCTGTGGGATCTACTCTAGGTGATCCTGCTCTGGCAGGGGGGCTGGACTAGATGATCTCTAGAGGTCCCTTCCACTCTGTGAATCTGTGAATTAGTTTATTTTCTAGAGAGGGAGCTTTATGGTAGATCAGTCTAGCCTATTGTACACTACAAAATTTTTCTCTAGTCTCGCCAAGCCTTTACATTATAGTAGTTACTCCCCTCCTCTCCATTGACTTAATTCCCTGTCTGGAAGAATGGGGCTGATTGTGCTTCCTTCACCCACATGGATGATTTGAAGAAAACCGTGTCGGGCAGGGAGGCACAGTTCTCAGCAGTAGGGCCATCCGCTTGCCCCCAGAACTGGCAGCAACTCCCCCACTGCCAGACAGGCATTGCAAAATGGGAAGGCTGTCCTGTGGTTTTTCAGTAACTGGTAGCACCAAACCGAAGTCGGGCCATGCGTTAACTGGTCGGAGAACACACAGCAGTAAGTGGTACAACAGGCTTTGCTTTTTAGGCCTCTTTTTCAATCATCACCTGAAGAGCTGTCAGGGAACACAAAGCCTTGGGAAGCATTTATGCTGCATTGTCCAGGCTGCTTTTCTGGAAGGCGCAGAAAGGCCGTGCCGATAAATCCATCGGTACATGGCTGTACTTCCAGCCGCAGAAGTGAGTTGGCAAGTGTGGCTGTGAGAGGAGGCCCGGGCTGGGCGGCCAGCGCTGCGTGGGGGCTGGAACAGGAGTCCCTGCAGCTGCGGGCCGGCAGCCTGACCAGGCCCGTGAGAGGCGGGCACACCTGGCCCAGCAGCGGGGGAGCAGCCCAGGCTGCCTGGACCTGGGGCTCAGGTGGGCCCTGGCAGTGCAGTCGGCAATTCTGTGCACGTGGGTGGGCTGAAGCTTCCCAGAGAGCTCGTGGAAGGTGTCGAGCTGCTATGTCTGGCTGCTCCCTGCCTTTGGGGGACACATGCTGGTCCCTCAGGAGCTGTGTCGCTGCAGGAGTTTGCCGGCAGACGGGCTGAGCCTCCAGCCTGGAGGTGAAGAGAGCTGAGTACATGCGCTGTGGGGGTTGCAGCTTCACACGGCTGTGGCTACGTCAGGACGGGAGTGTGCAGCACACGCGGTGGGTACTGTCATGGTGGGTGTTTTGCAAGTTTGTCTGTTTATGGCATCTGCCAGCATTCAGCTGAAAGAGAATCAGGAAGCTGTCCCTAGGAGAGCTAACCAAAGGTAGACAGGATTTGGTAACTCCTGACAAGGAGACATGTGAAGTCCTGAGCCTATAACTTCCTACATGCAGCAAGACTGTCCTCTGTGCAGGGCTCTGACTGCCTGCAGGGCCTGCAGCAAGACCGGGGAGGGGGACGCTCTGGAGCCTGCCTCTGTCACCACTGCGTCCTCCTCTGGGGCACGAGTGCATGTGACAGAGAAATGAAAATGGATTTTTTCTGCTTTCCTTAGTTCAAAAAATGTTTTTGTTCATGTTCACTATCTTAAATTTTTATGGAAGAATACAGGGTAGAAAAGACATTTCAAATGCATTCCTTGTGAACCACCATCTTGTGGGAAGAGCTTGGTACTGTGAAGCGGTTGAGTGCTAGAATGTGAGTGTGAAAACACTGCTGTAGCCTGGCTCTGTGGGATACACTTAAACTGCAATTATTTTATTCGGTTTCCTCCATAACTGCTTACAACACTTGGTTAAATCCTCACTGACCGACCTGCATGGCGGTCGTGTGGCGGGCGTGTGAACCACCATCTTGTGGGAAGAGCTTGGTACTGTGAAGCGGTTGAGTGCTAGAATGTGAGTGTGAAAACACTGCTGTAGCCTGGCTCTGTGGGATACACTTAAACTGCAATTATTTTATTCGGTTTCCTCCATAACTGCTTACAACACTTGGTTAAATCCTCACTGACCGACCTGCATGGCGGTCGTGTGGCGGGCGGGTGAGGAACGAGCCCGGCTCCATCGCCAGCGCTCTGCAAGGGCCGATTCCTAGCAGCTGACATCTGCTTCATTAATTGGCAGCCGTAAATGAAAGCTAGTGTTTTTCTTAAATTGTGAGGAGGTTGTTGAAAATTAAGCCTTAAATTTAGACTGGAGAAAGAGCTTGAATGGAGGAGCTTTTCTTATCTCAAACAGCAGCAGAACAGAAGTTTGGTGTTTCTACAGTAGTATCAGGTAAAGGCAAACAGGCCTGGGTTCACCTGCACCGCATCGTTCTGATTGCTGTGTTGCACTGCATTTAGTTTTACATCAATGCTGTGGATTTGGGATTTCATCCTGGCTTATTTTGAATGCCGAACTGTAATTACACATGCAGAAATTGAATGTGGGCCACAGTTTCTGTGTTTGTGTGTGTATATGTATATATATATCTCCATAAGTTTAATAGAGGAATTAAAATAGATACTATTTGCCGCGTTTTGTAGCGACAAAAAACAACTCAACTACTTTGTGAATATTTTTAAATTTCTATCCATAATGTATGAAGTGGAAACTTAAGAACTGGGGGAGAAAGTCTCTGCCTGCATATCCTTTTATATCCTAACTTCTAAGAGCTGAGTTAAAAGTGCATCATGAAAGGGTTTGCCACAGTTCAGCACTTAACTGGACCCCCCTCTGAGAGGAAAGACAGGAAAAATGCCTGTTGAATACAAAGTATTGCTAGATATCTAGTATGCTGCAGAGTGTCGCAGTTTGACTCCGGCTAGCAAAATACCACCGTGCTAGATGGTAACTGGAGACTGCAGGCTCATCGTGATACAGAGCCGACAGTTCCTGTTGGAATCCCCTTGTGTGTTTGACTTGAGGCAGGCAGGTGGTAAAGAAAAAGGTAAAAGATGCTGTAAGTAAATGTATTAGCTTTCCTTGCCTTGACTTCTCGACTCTGAGCTCATGAATAAAGGGTTTACTGAGTTGTTAGGAGTCAACTCATAGTCCATCACCCCTGTATCTAGAAGAGGGAGGTTGTAGTTGATATCCCCAAACCATCATCTCTTTTCTAAGGAGTCTGTGACTGGAGGGAAGGGATGAGGGGGGAGAGCCTTATGCATCTGGAGGTGGGGGTTTGTCTTAAGTAAGGATTGTGGTTGGCTGAGAAATACTCAAGGAGGCTTGCTTAATCTGTGGTATGTTTGAATTCATTGCTTTCCTGAATTCAGTACTCATTCACCAAAAAGTAAAGTAACTCCTGTGGGAGTGGTAAGGGGAGAGAAATTTCAGGCAAGTAATCTTGGATATTATGACTGAAGCGCACCCGTGAACGGCTCCTGCTGAGATGCTAATAGCTGGGCTGCTCACCCATATTACACTGAACCTCTTCCAGTTTTCTTGCCAAAAGAGCTGTATTTCCAGGCGTACTCCAAGTAAGGAGAAGTCAAAATGCAACTTTAAACCAGTGAGCTTTAGAGCCAGTATTGCAGGGGCTGTCAAGTGCTTTTTCTGCCAAGCAAAGAAGCGGGGCATTCAGCCGGAAC